GCCAAAACAGCAGTAAGTACCGATAGCTGAAACAATCTATGGGCCGTAAGTTTGTGAGATAAGTTCCTTAAACGTTCTTGGGTAGCTTTAGAAAGGTGGAAATTAAATGGTACGCCTATCTGCAGGTGGTTAGGTTTAGAAGGATTCTCTCTGCAGTGGTTCTATTCGCCAAAAAATAGATACTACCTCCAGTTTCCCACATTCAAACTTTCCCTTTAAATTCACACAGTGCCAAATAGAACATAACAATATAATAACAATACTAATGGGGCTTTGGCATGTTAGCCTCAGCACAACCCCTCTGGAGTAAATGCTGACAGCAACAAGCCAATATGGGGTAGGTCCGATATAGCCTAGCAATATGTAGAATTATTTATAGATAGTATTTCCTGTAATACATGAATTACATATGTAAATAAAATAATAAAATACACTAAGCAAGGTCCAGCTAGTTGATTTAATAAATAAAATAATAAATAATAATAATAATAATATCAATTATTACCTATATATAATATATTTTCTTATCTGCTGTATAATCAAATAATTTTTTAAAATTCATTACAATTGTTATATCACTAAATTATAATTTGTTATAATACATATTTTTTGTATATATTATTGCTTTATTTTCTATTATTACTAATTCAAATATTATTAATAAAAAATTATTTATAAATAAATTTAAATATGTTCTTAAACTTTTTTCAAGATTTTTAAATTGCTTTTTATTTTTTTATTTATTTTTAAATTGTTTTTTTTTTTTTTTGTATTGCGAGTAAGCTTTACTCTAATTTATTAGAAGTGCTGTAAACAACATACATAGTACATTTCTGTCTACACTTACAACTATCACAATTAGAATTCACCCACAGGTATACCATCCGGGTGCAGCCTACCTTAATGTATTGCCGTCTCAAGATTACCGCAATACATCCTATTGATTTAAACTAGATGTTCTATTTGACACTGTGCGAAATTAAGGGGAATTTGAATTTTTGGGGCACTGGGGGTAGTACCTATATTTGGTGAATAGAACACTACCTAGTTAATCTTCCAGATCCGACTACCTGCAGCTGGATGCACCGATTTCCATTTGATTTCCACCCCCTTCAAGCTACCCAAGAACGTCCAAGGAACTTATGTCACCAGATCTTACTGCCCATTTAGGTATCCATAAGGTTACCTAGCAGTCTTATTGCTGGGCCGCCTTCTTGGAATAAGTAACCATCGGAGTGATTTTTTACTGAATTGGAATAGGACCTTTCTGGCTATCTTTGTAGGAAGAGACACCAGGTACCATGGGGAAACGATCACTAAGCCATCTTTTACCAAAAGTGGATACCTTATACTCCTTACAACTTTTGGCGATCATCGTACCACCAACCGGACGATCGTCGCGCCACGATGCCTTTTCTGGAAATCACAATCTCAAAGCCCGCTGGATCAGCGTGTGACACAGCTTTTTCTATGAGAAATGGTGTTTTTTACAGGTTATGGTGCCAGATACCATATTAATTCTATTCAACCGTCCTCACATGGGGTTGAACTGGTATCTTGTGATTTGACCTGTGGAGTGTTAACCACTATACTACAGACCCACAGGTCTAATAGAAATTTTTTATATTAATATAACTTTAAGCATAAAATAAAAAAATAGCAGAATATAATCTTTATAATTAGATAGCAACAAATATAAAACAGTTGATAAAAGTATCACAATTTTTTATAATAACAAATAAAATAAATTAAATTATTTTTTAGATTTCTGTAAAATATATGCAATTTGAAGATTTAGTAAGTTTGCCTATATCAATATTAATTTTTTAGATTATGCAATTGTAATAATTTATTTAAAAAATATATGACTTTCCAGTAATCAGAATTTATATATCAAAAAGGAGACTTGATAGTGATAATTTTATATAGTTAAATGGTAAATAAAAGTAGAAATAATAGATATTTTTATTATTTATTTATTTATTTATTTTTTTTGAAGCTAAGATACAATACATGCAAAAATTTTATTGTAGATCAATAGATTATACATAACTATTATATGAACAGTTTAGTTTAACTGACACTTCATTCTTATTCTAATTCAAGTATCAACTTACATTATAAAGGTGAGTTTATATTTAGATGTAGATTTTAGAGAGCTTTTTTGTTTTTTTGTTTTTTGCCTATTTAATCATTACTAGAGTTCCTTATTATTTTATTCTAGAATCTATATACTAAATATTATAAAGTTTATTTCTTTATACTTTTTAGTAAATGCTTCAAGAATTTGTTTTTGTGGTTGATACATACTATCAAATTTGAAAATTCTTTATCAAGTATGATACAACTTCTAAATCTTCCAGTAGACATTTCATAAGTCTCTTAGTTGACTTTAGTTATCAAATCTAGAGGTACAAATAGGATTCCAAATTGAGTACCGAAATGGTATCGACTTGATACCAACTTATAATAAAGTTAATATATAGGTTATAATCCACTATATTAAACTCATAGTAAATCCAGTACCAACTTGGTATTGAAATGGTACTGTTAGAAACCCTGGGTACAAATGCCAAGCAGGATGCAACTCCTGTAAAGTGGCTATAAATCTCTAAATATATCTGTAAGGTTCCAGTCCAATTTGAGTAATCATTTTCAAAGTTGCTTAGTGAAGTCAATAGGTTTTTCTTTTATAGTCTTGTGAACTATAGGAGAGAAAATGACCAATATAAAACTGGAGAATACATCAAATGCAATGTTGATTATTATAATACCAATCAGATAATTAATACTTTATAATACCTTAACTGAAGATCACAACCTCAATGCCTACTGGATTAGCATATAGAATGGTTTCATATGAGAAACAGTATTTAATAGGTTATGGTACCAGATACCATATGAATATCATTCAACTGCCTATACATGAAATTAAACTGGTATCTTGTAATCTGACCTATAGAGCACTAATCACTATGTTATAAATCTATAGGTCTAATTATTATTATTTAAAAAATATAATATATTAAATATTTTTAATATTTTTAAAATAGAAAATAATTCTTTTTGCTGGTTAAAACATAAATTACATAGTACAACTGTTTTACTAACAGTAGGAATAACATGTGATTTATCTTAAAATTTGATTAAAAAAATTATAACTGCAATAAAAAAATGAAGAAAAGATAATAAAAAAGAAGTTTATATAAAATACCTATATAAGCAATTGCAGCAAAATTTACTTGCATTATATGCATTTGAAGATTCAATAAAAAAAATTCAGAAAAACAACAATAGCCAAATTTTATTAAATAGAACAAATTATATTGATAAATATTTTAATTTAGAAAAAATAATCCTAATTGGCAATAAATTTTTATATTTTATTATACAGTATAATAAATTAATTAATATTATTTAAATTTGTTTTTTATTTTTAAAAATATAAACTATATTAATTTAAATTAAATAATTAATTGAAAATATAATAGCTTAAATTAATATATATAAATTTAAATTTAAAAAAATTAAATTAAACAATTTTTAACTATGATAATTGAAAATTTAAATTTAAAATAAAATAATTTAGATTGGTTTCTATTCAGTTTATAAAAAATTAAAACTAACAGTTTTTGGATCAGATTGATTTACAAAAAATTAAAACTAATAGTTTTCAAATCAGATCAGTTTAAAAAAAATAAATTGAATCAGTTTTGATTTTAGTTAAAATTGATTTAAACCAAGTTGTTATAATTCTTAACTATAACTTTGATTCAAAATAAAAATATATATATTTTAATATAAGTATAAAATTATATTTTTGATTTTTAAACCTTCCAATCTGAGTTATATTATTTTTGAACAATAAAAAAGTTTTGTCTTTTTATATATAACTTTTTTAAATGTTATTAATTGCCAATAAATAGTTTGAGATTTCTTTTGACCATATGAATTTTTCCAATAATTTTTGTTAAAAAACTCAATATAATATCATAAAATAGAAGCACTATAATAGTATTAAAGGTGGTTAACAAATAAAGCAAAATAAAGTAATCAATTAATTTCTAAAAAACATAAGATTTGTTTTAATAATTCTGATAAATTGAAAATATTTAGATCCTTTGGATTATTGCTTTACAATAATTGTATTATTTTCAAGAATATATCTTTAATCAAAAATATAATTAATATTTAAATAATTAATTTAGGTATGTTTTAATAAAATAATTTAACATTTACAATAACTAAAGCCAATAAAACCATACTATCACTAAACAAGTATTGGATAAAAAAATTTAAATTTCTTTTCACTTATTATTAAAGATAGTAAAACTTGAGATTTGTCAAAATATTATAAACTTGAGTCCTTTAGGATTGTCTCTTCAAGACATAATAAAACTGAATATTTTTCAAAAAAAATTATATATCATGTAAAGCTAAAAAAAAACTAATTTTTAATAATACCATATCTGAAACAATACCCGTATCCGAACCTGGCTCTGATGAAAGCAAAGAAATATAATTAATCTTGATCATATACAGTATATGAAACTGTCTTGCTTGCTCATAAGAAATTCTTCTGGGTCTGTAATTTATTACAACATAATTTTGCATAGGAGAAGTATGGTTATCAGATGAATGATAGATATTTTTCAGCAATTGTATAAGTATGGGCCATATTCTTAGCCTCGTGTGCTATTATACTATAAACCTATTTTTTATAAATATTTATGAATTAAATTATAATCTTTTAAAAATCTATTGAATCATTTATACGGTTAAATCGTTTCCGGTTCGGATAGTTTAACCGGTTATATGCCCTTACTGCAGCCAACAAGCTCGCAAAATTCTTTGCATTATTTATTATTGATTTATAGTATATGCAACATATACTGTAATATAAATTAAATGATCTATATTTCTACATTATTTTATTTAAATTAAGATTTTTCAAATAAATAAATTAATTTTATAATTATATCAATTATTAAATAACGTTATTATAGAAATTCTATGAAGCCATGGTGTTTACAATCATTGAGACTGGTTATACGCATAAACCAAAGACGTCCTATATAGGTTCTCGGCGCAAAAGGTGGTATACACTAATATCAATCACAAATCGCCGTCCCCCCATTAAATTAAGTATTCTATATGAAATTATTATATATCGCAAAAAATAACGTTTTATATTATTATCTACCATATTTTGCCTCTAATTTTCTCTTCTCTTCCGGTGAAGCTTTAAGTAGAGTTGTTAAAACTGGCAAGAGAGCTTTCTGTAATGCAAATATATGTCAAACAGATGAATAGTGATATTCAAGTTAAAGAAATATCGGAAAAAACATACCCTCTGAACTTTATGTTCCAGAAACTTGAATACTACATCTCGTATGTAATCTACTTTGACATCATCCTCCAATTTGGCGCCAAACGTTGGTGTCATGGGAGTATTTGATCCTCGTGAAGCCGTAGGAGATAAAGGTGGTTGCGGTGAAGTTGGAGTTCCACGTTCTGAAGATTTCTGAAGCTTACGAACCTCTTCTTTAAGTGTCTAAAATAATAATAATAAATGATGAATAAATAATATAATATAATATAATACGTTAAAAAATTGGTTTCCAATCAGAGATAGCATCTAGCCCATATCGGAATTATTTTTACAAATAAAGTTTACTTCTAGGTCTCGAAAGAGTTTAAAGATGATAAGATTTAACAACATTTACTTTGTTTACAGTACGCAGGTGACCTTCACGCATTCGTGCTTCTTCCAACAACTTTTCATATTCTTCCTGACTTCGTTGAAATGTTAATTCCAATTCCTGATACTTTGCCTAGTAACATATATACTATTTTTAGTCAATGAATATTTGTAAATAGATTGCGCGAACGTAAGTCATACTCACAGATTTCTTGTCGGCGTTAACCATTTCTGCATTAAGTATGCTCATCTTTTCATCTATTTCTTGCATTTTCTCTTTCAGAGACAGGTTCTCATCCTGTAACGACTTTATAGTGTTTTCCTTCTCTAGAGAAATTTCTATTAATCTATTCTTCTCTTGCTCCTTTGCATTCAGTTGCTTAATCATGTCTTGAGTTTCATTATCAACTTTACGTTTTAACTCAACCATTTCTAATTCGATTCTTTCTTTACCATGTCTATAATTTTCTTTATGTTTTTTCAAAGTTTCAAGCTTCTCTGCATTTCCGCGATTCGTATCTTCCAGTTTTGTCTTCAACTCATCACTTTCGCGGCTCTTCTCTTTATAAGCTTTCTTTAACGTCGTTAATTCCTCCTCTAATGCTTGTGAGCGTTCTTCAAGTTCTTTTAACTGATGTTCGAGCTCCTTTGAACCATGCTGTAACTTTTCGAGAGAAGATTGAGATGATTCAAATTCCGCTTGCTTGACTTGCAGTTGATCAAAATATTTTTCTTTCTCAAGATTCAATTTCTCATTTAGTGTTTCAAGACGAGAAATTTGTGCCAATTTCGCATCCAATTCTTTATTTGAACGCGAAATTTCTTGTTTCATATTCGCAGCGCTTTTCTCGAACCCTTTAAGCAAACCTTGAAGGCGTTCTACCTCATCACTCAATTCTTTTTTCTCTTTTTCGAGACTTGGTATTTTTTGCTGGGATTTCTTAAGCAGGTTGTTCTGTTTTTCTTTTTCTTCAGCTGATTGCTTTTTCAATGTCTCAATCTCAGAATCTCGTTTCTTAATATTTGATTTAGATTCATTCAAAGAATCTTGTAGATCCTTTTCTCGTTGAATCGATGATTTCAGCCTTGACTCAACGTCTGATAATTTTTCTAGAGCATCTGTTTTAGCCACGTGAAGTTGTGCACAATCGGATTCAAGTAATGTGTAATTCTTTTCCTTTGTTTCCAACTTTTCTTTCAGTTGCCGATTCAGCTCTTTTTCATCATCTAATTGAGCATGAGCATCGTTCGATTTTTTCTGCACAATCTCCAAATCTTGAATAAGATTTTGTTTGTCTTTGACTAAAGTTTCTATCTCATTAAGGAGTTGTTTCACACGGTCTTCTAATTCGGAGATTTTTGAACTTGCGAGTGATATATCGAGTTTTGGTTCTTGATGACTTTGTAATTCGTCATGCGCTTTTTCGGGTTTTTCGTATTTTTGGTCCTGTTCCCGTGCTATAGAGTTTGAATCTGAGCTAGACTCTGATAAAGATCCATTCTCCTGACGTTCGTTAATTGACTCGGGTTTGGAAGATATTTCGATTAATTGTTCACTTTTTTCGGTAATGCTTTCCTTAAGAGAATTGATTTGTTTGTCCATATCCTGTATTAAAGTTTCTTTTTCATCGACTTGCTTTTTGACTGCTTGCAACTCTTCTGACAACTCTCTTACTTTACCAATTAATTCGATATTTTCCTTTGAGTTTTGATCTAATTCTTGACTTAGAGGGGCCTTGTCAGGTTGATTTTCTTCGGCGGTCGCAAGTTCCTTCAGAATCTGTTCCGGGAACAGCGTTGTTGATATTTCATGATTTCCGTTAGCATCAGATTGTGTATCGAATCCCTTTACCATATTTGACTCAGGCGGAGAGGATGAATTATTATGATTTTTCTTTAATTGTTCAATTGCTTGTTCCAACATTTGTACCTTCGATTCCCACTGCTGTCGTTCCATATCCCAACGAGCACTTTCTGAAGCCTCTACTTTCTGCATGGAAAGTCCTTCACCTAAATCAACTTCACTAAGCTTTTCTTCACTAAGCACTTTCTCTTTTACAATTTCCTTTCTAGCTTCTTTCAGTTTTTCGTCGAATTGCTTAGTCATTGCATCTCTTTCTTTCTCAAATTCTTTGGTCTTATTGTCCAACGCAATACGGTTTTGATCTTTTAATTCTTGTGTTTCTTTTAATTTTATTTCGAGCTCTTTCCTAACCTTTGATACGGTTTCATCATGCTCTTTACTTATATGTTCAATAGATTTTTCCAATTTTTCCTTTTCACTAGTAGAGGTATTTATTAAACTTTCAATCTTTTTCTCATATTCTTGGGACGATTTTTGTAAAGTTTCTGCATGCGTGTGTTTCAGCGATTGCACTGTTTGAGTTAACTTTTCTTTTTCTTCCCTCAATGAACCATTTTCAGCCTCTAATTGTTGTAATTTTACGGTCAACTCGTGATTTTTTGTTTTGACTTCTTCCATCATAACATTATCAATATTTCGACCTATACTCTCCAACTTTTGTTCCAATTCGTCTATCCTGGTGCTTTTTGCTACTAACGAAGTATTATCATCTCCTATCTTCTCAGAAGGATCTAATGATTCTACATCTCTCTTATCATTGACCTCTTCAACTTTTTCGGTATTACTTTCATCGGACGAGACTTCTACCCGTCTTACATCGTCCTCCATGAGATTATTTGTTCCATCAACTTGAACAGGCCCATCCTTTATATGAAAATTTTCAATTTGCTATATACGAAAAAAACGCAATTAGACCAGTCTCGTACATATAGCACGATATATGATTAACTTTTAAACGAACCGTTTCTTGATCCCGCACTTTCTTTTTTAATTCCTCTATAAGTTCTGTTTGTGTACTACGTAGATCTTCCATTTGTCGTCTTGTTTCTAAATCGAATAAAGGTTTTTTTTAAATAAAAAAAATAAAAATAAGTACTTGTCAAATAGAGTTACATTTATTGGTGCCCTTACCATCATTTATTTTTGTGATCCGTTTAATTTCTTGTTGAGTCATCTGCAGTATTTCGTAAAGTTAATTAAATTGATTATATCAAGATAACAGTTTTTTTTTTTAGTAAGGCCAATAATCTACCTCACTTTTCATATTTAAGTTACGTAAGTGGGCTTCAAAAGCTTCTACGTCAGCGATTCCTTCTAGATGTGTGTTCTCCTTTAAAACTTTTTCAATAGCTTTTTTTTCGTTAAGCAATTTTTTATATGACCTTGCTAATTCTATCAAGAGGATCGGGGTTAGTATCGGCTCAATTTAAATATGAGTTTATATTGTGCGTGACATAATTCACTTGCGAATATATATTATTAACTCTTGCATGAAAATGAATCAACAATTATACCTGCAAATCGAGAATCGTATTTCTTTTGTTTAACCAACTTTTCTTTAGTGTTCAACGGATTTTCGGCGTCATCTTTTTCTTGGGAAATTAAATTATCATCTTCTTCATTTTCAAAAATGGTTATGTCGATTTTATTGCTATCTTCTTGTTGTAATAACGAGGTAGAAGTTTGCGTTCTTGAAGTGAGTGATAAAGAACGGCGCACAGCAGGTAAAAGACCACCTACAGAAGTGATGTTCCCACCAGGACTACCATTTGTGGTTGAAACCTCACGAACATGATCTTCCTGGTCAGAGCCGGAATTATTAGATCCTTTGTCCCTGAATTGACCTTTATTCAATCTACCCTTTAACGAACCAAAATTTGAAAACATTATTGTGTTATTTTTGTTCCTCGAGCTTTGCGCGAATCGAAAAACGGTGTTCTTAATAACTATTGTATTTTGAAAACGAACTTTCGTTGAAAACTCAGTATAAATGGTATTTTTCCGCTGTAAACTGAGCGGGCTTTCATCTACCATTCTTGGGACAATGTGTTACATTCTCGAACCTGTTATATTCCGGCTTTTTTTTTTCCTTCTTGGACGACCAATAAGATGCAAAAGCCACATGATTATCGATATTCCCGATATTTTGGTTAATTATTTTATATGAACGCAATACCATAAAACAATAAAATTCTGAAAGAAATCACGTGTAACACTTGCAGCATTCAATGTATGTATATACTGTGCATATGCATAAGAAAATGAATAATAATTTTTTTATTATTTTTACTAAAAGTAGCATATTTTGTAAGCTTAATACTTTGTATTTTTTTTCAAGACAAAAAATTTTTGTCGAATCAATAAAAAAAAGCTTTACTTTGGATCATAAATAACTTAGTTGATATTTTGCATAAGAATTGTATCGCAGATCCTATTCTTAAAAAATTTTCTGTCCAATGAATCGATGCGAAGTAGTATAACTTCGATGAACATCGAATTCCATTTCGGAATTACGAATTATTTTGTCGTACTCTTGTTCGGTAATTCCCAGATGCGCGGTAATGTCTGACTTCATTTTCCTAGACAGTTCGCGGAAACAGGCTAGTCCAAATTCACCTGCTCGTTTACCCCACCTTCCAACAGGGCTGATCACCACTTCATGACTGAAATTATTCCCGGATATCTCTCTGGTCGAGAGCAACATCTCGGCCAATCGTTCGCAAATGGACCCGTTGATATTTTTTCTGTGGAGGTGTTCTAACACTTGGAAAGGGATCGGCAAAGGTTAAAACGCGTTGCGACAATAAATTAGTTGAAGCTCAAACAATAAATTGGTTTTGGAACTCACATGCGTCATTCCACTTTTCAAAACTTGGACCACAATTACAAAACTTGAAATCGGTTTGTAGGACTTCGATCCACCCGCCGGGCTTAAGCAATCTCACCAATTCTTTGGTAATACTATTCTCCCAATCCTTTTCGGTATAGGTGGCGTTAGAAATCCTTATAAAATCGAAGGAGTTTCTTTCAAATGGCAATCCGTCCAACATGTTGATCTGCAAGAATTTCGCGTTGGGATTGGATGATTCGGAAGGAAACGTGGTGGTGGCGGCGTCGACGCCGATAAATTCCGAATTCGGATAGGCACTTGCCATTTCAAGAATCCAGGTACCCAAGCTACATCTTTAGACGAACGCGCAAGAGTTTAATAAAATCATCAATGCTCGTGCCCGTTATTATCATGGATCGAATAAACTTACCCGATATCAAGCACTTTAATTCCATTGGCGGATTTGAGTTTTTCTTCAATCGGAGCCGAAAAATTACACTGCCACATGTGTCTGAACAAGTAATGATTGTCCTCAAACCACATTTTTTCCTCTTCCGCGCTATTCGGTAACGGATACACGACTCTCCCATTGCCAATTATTCGATATTTTGTGCTATGCCGAGTAGGCGTGGTATTTGGACAACGGGTGGTTAAAGAGGGACCACAATTCTCGGCGCTGACGCTGCTAGTGTTGCCCATTATTTTTTTTTCTGAGTCAAGGTGGGAATTATGCTATTTGTGAACGGTAGTCTCTTACAACTTGTTAATGTAAGTTTGATTTTCCGGATTTGATTGGATATTATCGAAAATCGAACGAACCAAACCCTTAAGATGAATGAGAAAATTTGAAAGTTATCTTTGCAATAAAAAGAGTGTATTTGTTACGATTTGAAAAACCAGGAACTTGTAATAAAAGTAAGCTTCAGTTGACATACAGTATATATAGAAAAATTATCCACATGCAATACGTAATGAATCAAGAAGAGTGCACGTTCTAGAGATTGCGTACAACGCTACCCAACATTAAAAGCTGATTCCCAGCTGCCTGTTTTTCAGTCAACTATCATTCACATTATTTATTTGCTCATCAATAATAATAAGGTTATGACTTAAGGATGTAAATATTTACTCGGCTCCTAAGTAAATTATTGGTACTTCCGTTTAATTTTCAATAACATTTTATGCATTTATGCATAATATTTCTTACATAATTTACAAAAACTTTATTTTTTTATATTGTGGAGCTTCCCGCTATGCAAGCGGTTACACATTTATTGGATGTTTCTTTTGGGGGACCCTATTCTGAACCCTTGAATTATAAGGGGGAACCTTTTTGGCATGCATTTGTGTTTCTCATTTGAATGATCACGATCTTTACGTTCTTTTGGTTCCAGTTCGTTGGTTGAACAAAATTAGCCGTCGATGCCTTCCTTCCTTCCTTTCGTCACACTTATTACATATAAATTCATTATGAATTTAAATGGTTCTGTCCCTGATGTTACACTTTGTCCTCAATGAACATTGAGGTTATTTTTGGACGGTTTGTTCCTCATTATTACTGTTATTAATACAGTATATGCGTTTGATTTGTTCGATTCGACTAAAAAATTTTTCCGAAAATTTCAATGAACACACATTATCGTATAAATATTATTGTATAAAACAACACTATATACTGCATGGAAGACCCTGATGTCCGAAATTCCCATTGTGACGTACCTCATCACATGTATCTTTTAATTTGTTTTAATGGTAATACAAGACGACGACGGCGACGACGAAACATGCTTGTAATTAAATTATTTCATGAAGCCCTGAATTAATGTTATTAATGCCTATAAATTCCCTTATGAACAGCGGATGAATACTAACAAAAACGGTAACGACCATTCATGACCACAGTCTTCGGATTCAAGTTATAGTTTTGAAATTGAGCGTATCGTGAAACATTTGAAACATTGGAATCTAATTATCTCGATTAACGCATCGTTACACGGCGATCCTGTTAATACGTTAGCCTACGGTACCAATACGATGTTAACTACTTTAACAAATCAAATTATTGTTTCTATACTGCACATAATTCCATTTGCTTCAAAAGCAAGAAACAGTATACTGCAAATCTATCTTTTTTTATTTAAAATATTAATGATGCGATAATGCGATAATAACATCATCGAAAAGATTTCAAAACTGATTCACATACTTATTTTTCAATTGACGCAAACAAATAAGTCATTCAGAAAATTTTTTTTGTACAAATAACAATTCCTGCGATTGATTGTACTGTATATTGAGCCGCTTCATATAAAAACATTTTATTGAAAAAATGAATACTAAATTAGAAAGTACGAATTACAATTTTGATATACTGCATTTGTATAAATATATATATAATAATGATTATCATTAAATACAATAAAATAATATACTGTATATTAATTGACATACTGTAATTAATGCAACAATTTGTTTTTTTTTTTATACGCATAATAATAAATTTATTGCAAAGTGGTGTTGCTCCAAATATAACTTTGGTAATTTAGGATTCCATTTTATTTAATTGCAGGTTCTTATTGAATTCATTATTTACGTATTACTAAAAATACAATGAATTAATAAAAAAAAATCATTGAGATTATACTGTATAATTATATAATTTATATAATAATTTTAATAAATCATATTATTTTATAAAAATTAAAAATTAAATAAAATTACTTTTTTAAAAAAATTATAAACAAATATTAAATATAAACTCTTTATAAAACCATAATTTGTTATTATTATATTAACAATATTATTATTTAAAACAAATTTATATAATTTATTATAACTTTTTAACTTTTATAATTGCTATTAAATAATTGTTAAAGTTAAAAATAGGTTTTGAACTTATTTAATATATAAAATTTCATGGATTATATTTTTTTTAAAAAAATAAATACAATTAATTAATTATTAATTAATTAATAAAACCATAATTAAAAAAACATTTAAATTAAATAATATACAATTTTGGCAAAAAAAATGTCACTTTTTTTTTATTTGTAAAAACTATATTATTAAAAATAAATTTATTGATATTTTAAAATAATATTAATATTTTTTTAATATTAATAGAATTATATATAATTTTATTTAAATTTATTATTTTTAAATTTAATTTTTTTATCAAATTCAAATATTAAAAAGTTTATATATTTGAAATTTTATTAAATATTCTAAAAAAAAAATTTATAAAAAAATTTTATAACTCTATAAAATTATAAATAAATAACAAATAATTTTTTTAAAAAAATTATAAAATAGCTATTATTTTTTTTTATTTTTAAGAATATTTTAAATAATATATTTATTTTAAAACAAAAACTTTAATAAAAAAATAATGATAATTAATTTGTTTATAATTATTATAATTATTTTTTATAATGTTACAAAATTTTAATTGAAAAATATAATTTATTTTTATAAATATATTTATAAAAAATTAAGGTTTTAAATTATATATTATAATTTTTTAATTAATATTTTAAATACTTTAAATATTTATATATAGTTAAGAGCTTTATTAATATTTTTAAATAAAATTATAATTATTATCTTATAAAAAATTTTTTTAAATATATATATATAATATTTTTTTATACAAGACTAAAAAATTTAAAAAAATTCAAAAAAATTATTTTATTTTTAATTTACAATTTTATAAAGTTATAAAGTTTATTATTATTATTTTTGTTTAAATAATTAATAAGGTTTTTAATTTATAAACTTCTTAACATTTGAACTTGATAAAAAATAATATTAGAAAAAAATTATTAAATAAAATTATTTATAATTCTATTAATATTAAAAAAATTATATTAATATTAATTTAATAAAAAAAATTTTCATAATATAGTTTTTTATAAATAAAAAAAAAGTGTTGTTTTTTTTTTTGCCAGAATTGTAAATTATAAAAAATCCAATTATATAATTTTTTAATATTATATTTTATAATAACTTTTTTAATAACAAAATATTTAAATTATATATTTATTTTTAAATAAAATAAAAAAATTTTTTGATAATATAATTTATTGTTTTGATTTTATTTTTACATTAGATTAAATATATATTTAATATTTTAAATATTAATTGTTATTAAAAATTTCAAGTTTTTTTTTATAAAATTAAATTAATAAAGATAAAAAAATTTTTAATTAAATTCTAAAAATATATCATAACAAAAACAATTTATTATTATAAAATTAAAATGTTTTTTAAAATATTTTTATTAATAAATAATTATTTAACAAAATTTAAAATTTAAATAATTAATAATATAAATTTTTTAAAAAAAGTAATAAGATTATAAGAGACCTGTGAGTCTATAAAGTAATAATTAATACTCCACAAGTTAAATTACAAAATACCAGTTCAATCCTATGTAAAAGTAGTTAAATAGAATTAATATAGTATCTGATGCCATAACCTGTAAAAACATTGTTTCTCATGAGAAGTCGTTTTACATACTAATCCAGTAGGTATTAAGATTGTGATTTTCAGAAAAGATATTCTGATATGATGATTATCTGGTTGGTGTTATAATAATTGTTAGAAGTTATAAGATATATGAAGTATCCATTTTCGATAAGCAGATTTGATGATTGCTCTCCTAATATTTGGCATTTTTTTGCAGATCCCTGCCCTAGTCTCATCCCAATCCAGTAATAAACCAATCTAGTAGTGCTTATCCTGAGAAAACATTTGGCAATAAGACTTGTTCTATGCAAGAGTACTGTAAGTTACTGTTTAGGCAGTAAGAACCAGTTATAAGTTTACCTTGAATATTCTTAAATATCATTTAAACTGATAAGAAATTAAATGATTAGCCTAATTATAGGTGATAATAAAAGGATTTATTCCCAATAGAACAAGCAAGTGTCATGTAGCTTTATTTACCATATAAAGAATATTACCTCCAGTATATTCCTTTATTTTTCTTTAATTCTTTTCCAATAAATAAAGCAGTTAGTAAAATCTACCAGTAACTCGACAAAACAAGCAAAGCTTTGGCATGTTTGTATCAATCTCTATCTATTAGGAAAAGTTGATAGCAACAATCGATATATGGAGAAATTTCTATATAGTTTAATATACATAAAGATAAATTAATGTTATAGCATAGTTCTATATAGTAATATATATGAATATATGTAAATATTAATCTTAATAAAGTTTGCTAAGCAAGATCTATATTAGTGTTTAATAATAGTAATAAGATTATAAGATTATAAATTTAACTTATTAAACCATATATATTTATAATACAATTTTAATTAATAAATAAAAATATCATATTAATAAAGAAAATTAATATTTAATAAAAACTCTTTCTAGTGATCCTTTTGCCAATCCAAAAAACAGATATTCTCAAAAGACTTTTTTTCTTTATAATAATAAAGTTTATATACTTTTCTTAACAACACTAGTTCCTTAACCAGCAGAATAAGCAAAAGTTACCACTTGTTTTATTTATTTTTTTTAAAACACTTTTCTTATTTATTTTAGTGACTAAATATAAGAAATCTATCTAAAAAATCTATGGTAAAAACATCTTTTTAAAAAGAAAACTGACAAGAAAAAATACTTTTCAAAGACTTTCAAAAGATTCAAAAATCCAAAAAAACAAGAACAAAAAAGTCTTCAGTTTT